CTTGTAGAGTGGCAGTATCGTAGCCAGTGAGGTTTATCCAAGGCATGGTTATTGCTAAGAGAACATGGAAGAGAGGAGGTTGGGATTGTACAGCAGTGGGTGGAACAGAGTGGTTCTAACTCAGGAGAATTGTGTGGTGAGAGGAGTAGAGTCAACTTGTGCTAGTTTTCATAGGCCAAGTTTACATGTTCCAAGAGAGCAAACTGTACTTTGTAATGGTTATTAAAGATAGTATCACCTTTGTTGCCATATTGCCAAGACAAAAAACAGTGCTTCTATAATCCACCCAACCACTGTAAACTGAGCTTAAGTCTTCCCTGGACACTGGTGCCCTTAGCCTGCAGAACCTGCTATCCTTAAGCTTTCTTCCATTCAGTTCCTAATTCTTGGCTCACTGTCCAGTTGCTAGATTTACGCTGGTCTTTTTTCTCCTGCACTTTCTGATTCCCTTTGTACAGTGTGACTTGGATCCGCCCCTCTGCTCAACTTGGGACTATGTCAAGTAAAATTGTTTCCCTGACTGAACACCTGCTCTGCTGCCCAATTCTGAGCTGTTGAGTTTAGGCTCCAAAGGGCAAAGATCCAGCCAGCTGGGATAGCTGCACAGGTAAGTAAAAAAAGCAACTCACAAACTGTAATTGCAACTTTGTGAAAACATGCCAAAAGGAAATAACAGAAAGACTTTCTTAATTCACTTTTTAAAATTATTATTATAACCTTGTTATTATTCTAAAGTCTATTCCAAGATCATGCAAAATTTGTGCTGTAACTACTTTCCTTTAAAAAGGGAGTCGGTCATTATCTTTACTAATACTAAAATCTGCATATATAACTTATTAGTTCCTTTATCCCTGGGAATAAACTAATAAAGAGGAACCAAATAATTTTGATTCTTTTGACAAAAAAAGGAAAAAGGTAAATGTCTATTCTCATTTGAATTTATTTTACCAAATTGGAAAAGATAGCTTTAACTATTAAAAGAAAAAATTATTAGGTTGAAAACATTTCAACCTAATTCAAGTTGAAAACTTTTACAGTGCTATTTCACTTTATAAAGAGTGTATTAAATTTTTTTTCAGATTATTAGAGACTGAAAAATTTGGACAATAGTTTCTTTTTTATGTATTTGGTACAGGGTCTCACTATGCAGCTCGGTCTTGTAGTGATCCTCCTGTTTTCAGTCTCCCCAGAGCTGGGATTACAGGGGTGCACCACCACACCCAGTCTCCATGGCTGGTTCTGTAAGCCCAGGGGTGGGGCCGGTGCAGCATGTGGTTCTAAGGATCAAAACACGTTCCCTGCGCTAGCCTAAGCAGGTGCTTAGTCCACTGAGCTATCTCACCAGCCCTGAAGAATAGTTTCGAAGGATCTGGAGTACTCAGAGTAAAAACGGCAAGCTTCATTGCCAAGCAATCACAGAACTCGCCCAAGGCTATGCAGTTAGGAAATAGTGGGACTAGTATAGACCCTTGGAATCTTGACCTGATGCTCTTTCCCACGCTTGTCCTCTGGGACACTGGACGGATAAACATGGACTAGACAAGGAAGAATTGTGATTTTTCTAGTTTATGAGCAGTTCAATGCTCATAAATTTGAGACAAATACTGATTAGGCTTCATCAATGGGCTCTGATTTGCCACCATGATAACCTAAATTCTCTTCCATTCTGAGATTCTTTAATTCTCTCAAACCATGGAGTTTCTTCCTAAATAACTTTGAGAGGGATTAACTTGAAGTAATTTTAGCAAGAGATGTTAAAGTGAGATTATAGACTCTAAAGATAATATATATTATGAAAAAGTAGCTCAAAATTAGATTTATGAGAAAAAAGGATGTCCAACATTGGAAGTCTAAAAGCATATTAAACTTATGCAGAAAGGATCATGTTCAAAAAGGAAAATTATTGTGGGAAACCACCCAGACTGCTTCTAAGCTCAGGGGCATCTAATGAGACCTGAGGATGTGACCCCGTTTGCCTAGCACAGGTGCACACTAGTTAGGTAAACATGACTTAACAGTGAGCAAACATCCACTCTGGTTATGGCGCTATGTGAGAATGTAAACATGAGATAACAACCTGTGTTACAACGACACACTGAAGACGCAGGCGGCCCTCGCTCCTGTGCTCTTGGGCTCTGATCTGCTCCACGCTGCCTGCTGATGCTGCTGACATCTCGCCCACGTGCATTCCTCAACCTTGGAACCTCACCTGTGAAAATCTCCCTTGGGCCCTGAGCGGGCTGGCAATCATTAAGGACATTTCCTTCAATTTGAAGAAGAGACCATGAAAGAGTTGGAATATATTATAATGAGAATCTGTAGGCCAAAAAAAAGCAAGCCATGTCCATGTTTGCTTAGGACACCTCTCCTCTCCAAGTCTCTACAGAAGATGATCAAGAAGTACTGCATTTTGATTGGTTGGGTGCCTTCACTGAAGGCCTCTTCAGAAGCATATCTTGGGGTGTAAGGGCTAGCTCTATACCTACCCTGAAAACATCTTCTACCCTAGACTTCTGCCCACTTATTCAGCAGGAAAAAGGATATTTGAATTTTGTATCATTTCACATATATATATACACATGAAAGCTTCTGGCCCTTAACAGTACTTCAAATTGTTTTTTTTTTTTTAATTTTTTTTATTGAGTCACTCAGGACCTTCTCTTAGATCAGAGTAGAGAACATCCTGTACTAGACATAAACAATCATTTATTATTTAAATACATAATCATACCAAATTTCTTTTTAGACTTAAAACAATTTCCCAAAATCAAGGATTGTAGATGGTTGAATGCAAACACCAGGTAACTACTAGGTTATCTGGGTCTCTCCTGACATCTAGTGTTGCTCATCTACTACTGCAGGAATGCCTCAGTTAATTTTAAACTACTCTGAAAATGAAAATGATATATGAAGTAAAAACTTTATTCACTTAGAATAAATAAAAAATTGTATCCTATTCCAAGCAGGATAAACAAGCTTTTGTTCTAGGGAATGAAAAATCATTTCTTAATCCTTCCCACAAAATAAAAATTCTCTAATGGTGTATTTTCCTGCAATTTTGCTAAGAACAGGAAGGCCCTGCAAGTGTGTTGTGCTTCTCTACAATGAGACAGCAGCAATGAAGCTTGCTGAGGTCCAACTATCCACTAAACACGCTGCTTTTGTACTTTCACGAGTTGTCACTGTTCCTTTAGAAGTAACAGGATAATCCTAACTGCACACTCTCAGCCTGACAAGGTTTTGCTTTACACTATGGAAAGGGAGAGACACTCAGCATCTCTCACTAAACATCGTGTGCCAAGTCTCACACGATGCATAGCTGTGGGTCCCTACGTCCATCCAGCTGAATAGAATGCAGCACAGGCCCCTAAGATGAACATTTTCATTCCGTTTTAGATACTCCACACAGACAGAAGGGTAAGAAAAGTTTGATTTAAGAACATTGGCAAGTCTTCACCAGAAAACCCTAAGAGCTGAAGTCAGCTGTGGGCTGCTGGAGAAGGCTACACACCAGGTCTTTTCTTGCAGGTCTATCTTCTGATCCACACATATTCCATTAGTCATTTTCTTTCAACCTGTGTTCCTCCAGCTAACAAAGAAGTGTGCACCCTATGCCCTTCCAACGCTTCGTACTAACATCTAAGGCCTCCAGGAGTGACCACCCTCATTTGTGGTTGTTCTTCAGGGGCTGTCCAGACTGTAGCTCAGCAAGATCAGGAGTATCTTCTAGCCAGTGTCTTCCCCTGCTCCCATGATGCCATGGGGCTTGGCTTGAGGACAGGCATTCTTTGCTTAATGGCCTGGTCTTACTTGCCCTCTTGCCTTGCCCGTCTTTCTGCGCGGGTGGTGCATGGAAGGCAGGAGTGGGAAAGGAATCCTATAGTTGAAAGTAATTCCAGCATGAAAAATTTAAAAAATACATGGAGAAATGGTAAATTTAATATGAGCAGAAAGTAAGTGACCACCTTTGCATTTGTGGTTGTCCATAAAGCACAGGAAGCAGCTCTGATAGCAACTGAAAGCCAGTATTCATGGGTAGGATCAATGCAGCAGCTGGAGTACTGATAATCAGTTTGAGGTGCCATTAGCACCCTGCTGAGACAAGTATCTATATGGTTCCAATACGAATGGGTTGGAAAGAAGCCTGGCTTGGTGAGAAGCAACCGTGTTCCTTCCTTTTCTAGTGGGAGGAGATGAGAACTTGCCCAGGAATGGTACCTTTGGCAATAGAGGATTTAACAATGAAACTAAGTTTGCCACGTTTCTGTCAAAATTTTTTCTTGGCTAACTAGATATGACAATCTTTCCAATTTCTATGTTCTATTTGTCCCTACTGTTCAAAAATTATGAAGTATCTTAATATCTTCAGATTACTGCTATTTTTCTCCACATAAAATCATCCATAATACTCTTCAATATCTTTTCCATTTTCTCATGTTTTACCTTCTTTTTCCACACCTCTGAAGACCACAGAGAACAGAAGCATACAATTATTAGAAAGAACTCAAGAATTTCTCTTTAGTAGCTGCTTGCTTATCCTCAAGGAATTCCTAAAGTTCACACTTGTGAAGGTGTACATGAGATGGTAAGGGGTGGAGGTAGCACTGATGGAGAAATACACTAACTGTGCCACAATATTTAATGTCTGGCTACTTTTGAATTATTTTCTACTGGGGGAATGGTTCATTCATAAGTCGCCACAAGTATTTACTGAAGGCCTATGATGCTAGACTTTGTGGAATTTTAAAAATTTCAAGACCAAGCCTCCACTTTCAGGATTGTGCCTAATAACTGTGGAACTGAAATACAGCAGAGAAGGGGGTATTTTTGCATATCTCTACATACATAATACACACACACAAAAAAAAAAAAAATTCCTGAAACCCAACAGAGAAAACAAATCACAGGGAACAAGAGGAAGAAGTTGAAAAGTGTTCAGAAAAAAAAGGAGGAGTGGAAAGAGAGTAATATTCATTTCTAGAATCAATCAATAAAAAATGTCTCATTTCAATCATTTTATTTGTTCTACTCTTCAGATCTAAGATGAATTTTCCATGAAAAACATTATACATTTGTTTCATTGTTAAATTATCAAATGCAGTATAAATAATCACATACTGAATGAAGAATCAGAGTCATCCACATAGAAAAGAAATCTGTGGTTTTTTAGTAATATCATGAGTAGCAAATAATTTTGACAATTTCACCAAGGAATTACACAAAACTGCTCATTAATACAGTGAAAACTTTCAGGGAAACACATAACACTGCTGAAATAAAGAATAATTTCCAGTGTAAATTACAGGGAACTGATAAATCAGGGATTTCTTCTCTTTAGACAGAGATTCAAAGTGATGACTGTTTCTCCGAGCTGGAAAAAAAAAAAAAGAAAGAAAGAAAGTAAGTGGTTTTAAAAAGATTGAATGACAAGGTTTTCGAGAGACTACATCTTCCAGCAGTCAACATTATTAAGTACAATAAACACTGGTAAGAGAAGAAATAGTCCACAGACTGTGCCCCAAGCTACGGTAGTGCCTGATTCAGACAGTTACCTTCTGATCCAGCAGCTGTACTTGACCCACACCCACACTGAATGCTCCTCACTCCCCAACCAATCCGCTTACTAAGTGGCTACATGTGCAAGGATAAAGAGCCTAGAGAGAGAAATACAGGTAAGACAAGGGCCTGATTTTCAAGAGATCCATGCCAGTATCCACACAGAATCAAAGGGTGTTATATTTTTAGTAGACCTTTACTGAGATGCTTCAAGAGCAAAATGATGGAGAAAATGGTGAAGGATGGTGGATGGAAAAGTGAGGCATTTCAGACAAGATGGAATTACCAAAAAAAACAAAGAACAATAAAATAAGGAAACTGATGATATCTAGTCCAGTCAAAGTGTGGATGTGAGGCTGAGAACAAGGCTTCCTCCTAAAATCAAAGTTACGTGAGTC